ACAATATCATAGAAGATACCAAAGACGATAATCATACCCAGACAGCAGACGCTGCGGTGGCCTTAACTCAACCGAACCTAGACTCGTCCGACGGCAGGATCCGCGAGACAGACAATGCTCTTACCACTACTAATACTACCAACTCCGCCAGTTCCTCTCCTTCTCTGACCACACCACCTCAAACTGTCACTTCTCCGACAGACTCTCCGCCGCCATCCTTTGAGTCTTTTCAAACGCTGTCACAGCCATACCCAAATTCTACTTCCTCGATTTCTAATAATGGTGAATCCTCCCTCCGCAACAGTATTGTTGCGACAGGAGATAAGCTTTCTACCTGGTTTACTTCCCTCTGGGCAAATTCACTGCCCGAAGACGAAGAACAATCAGAAGACGACGCTGATTTTGCTAGATTCAGACGCGGACTGATGGAAAGCTTCGAGAAAGAATCCCTCATATCCGACTCTAAAGGCACTCAGGACAATTTAATATATCTCATGGGTTTGAGCTATGAAGGATTGAAACGATCCTCTCATGAAATCAACCGTTCGTTTGAAACTTCTAGTTACTATTTCTCGACTCCCGGAACGTTCCCACAATTGCCTTTGCAGCAGCAGCAAGTTGTCGCGGTATCACAATATCCACAAGAATTTGTTAGTGATTTTACGTCGAGAATTTGGTGTACTTATCGACATTCATATGCGCCGATTAAGCCAACTAATTTTACTACGGATCAAGGGTGGGGCTGTATGTTGAGAACCACGCAGTCTTTATTGGCTAATGCTTTGCTCGTGCAAAATTTGGGACGAGGTGAGAAGGTTGATGAATAATTTGTATAAAAGGACTCAAGCAGAATTTGAATTAGATTGATTTTTTTATATATATTTTCTGTTAGATTGGCGAAGAGTACGTAAGGGCGAAAATACATGGGATGTATATGCAAGGGTAATTATTTTTGTATCTCCAGTCTACGACTTTTATTTTAGACATTTATACTTATTTATTATACGTCTCGAATGCTATAAGGTTCTCACATGGTTTATCGACGACATGTCTTCTCGCTGTCCGTTTTCAGTTCATCGTATCGCCTTACTTGGAAAGCAACTAGGAAAGAACATTGGTGAATGGTTTGGCCCTTCTACCGCTTCGCAAGCCTTGAAGTAAGGGCCTCCCATCTTTTTATTTCGCTCTTACGAACGTGCGATGATTCCGCTGATACTATCCTTTCGGTAATATAGAGCCCTTGTAGAGAATTTCTCGGATGCTAACATGAGTGTGTATGTAGCTACTGAAGGCGTCGTGTACAAGAATGAAGTATACAAGGAGGCACTGAGAAATAGCGAAGAAAATTTTCGGTCTGTTTTAATCCTTGTTGCGATACGTTTAGGAATAAGTAGTTTGAATCCAGTATACTATGAGGGAGTTAAGGTAATTGGTGAACGAGAAATTGCGTATGAAGAAATATTATTATAGTGCTTAACAGGACATTGGTTGTCTTGTAGGCATGTTTGAGATTTCCTGAAAGCGTCGGGATAGCTGGGTAATTATTGAACGTGTTGTTATGCGAGAGTGATGAAATATTGGTTCTAATTGTCAATATGATTGTGTTGCAGCGGCAAACCATCGTCTTCTTATTACTTTATTGGCGTTGAAGGTAAATATTTTACTGGGAATGCTATTAACTGTTTCGCAATCGGACAAACGTGTTCACCTTTTTTTTTTATTACAAAGGTGATGATTTGTTCTATCTCGATCCTCATTATTCTCGGCCTGCCATAGAACTTAAGAATATCGAGGACTACACAGAAGAAGTGAGGTTTCACTTGTTTTGCTTGTCGCTTTTGTTTCGCGTACCAGTTTCTCTGACACACATTCTTTATCAGGAATTAGCTACATTCCACTGTGATACGTTACGCAAGATTCCTATATCACAATTAGACCCTTCGATGCTTCTTGGCTTTTATTGTCGCACAATTGAAGACTTTGGCAATTTCTGTGAGCGGATAAATGAGGTCAGTCAGGAAGAAACTAATAATTTTTGATATAGTTGTTGTCACGTATTCATGATAATATATTACAGATAGGGAAAGACCAAAGGGCTATCTTTACAGTTGCTGATGAAGCACCTGTTTATTCGGAAGTGGATGATATATTGACAGAAGATGAGGACGAAGAATTTAAAGAGGAGAATGAAGACGACAAAAAGAAGGAAGTGG